GTATCAGATTCTTGCGTGCTCTCTCTCTCCCCATCCATCATATACATGCATGTTTTTTAATACATCCCCAAGCCCTTTTTTTCATCTGCCTATGCAGGTACATAAACCGTTGCTGAGGAATATCGGAGATGTCGGGCTTTTTTAATCTTACTCAACTCTGAAGAAGCTGAGTGGCCTATAGATGACCAAAATGCTTTGTTGGCTTCTTGCCGGGAGTGTGCATGCGTGAGTGAGTGTGGCGTGCATGTATAAAAAAAAGCTTTTCTCTGAAAAGAGCAGAGAAGGGCAGTGTGACCTCGATGAAAGTGAATGATGCATCTTTTCCCTGCCCACCCCCCGCCCCATCTCACATGTTATTTATTATATTGGAGGGTTAGAATCTGGGGCACCCTGGTATCTTCCTGTATCCTGTGCTCTTGCTACCTACTCTTTTGGGGGTTCACACTGACAAATCCTTGCTGACTGGAGTCAGGGTGTGTGGAGTGGATCACTTCAATTCATGCCAGGAGAAGAATCATTAGATTCTAAATGCATTCGGAAGAGAGGGGGCAGAGAGACAGACTCGGAGGATCACAGAGGCTCCTCAAAGCTGGTGACGCTCCGATTTCCCATGGGAAAGGAAATGAAGTGGCAGCCCTAGCTTCAGCTCCCCGTGACACAATTGCTTTGTCTTTGCTACCTCCAAAGCACCAGGGCATTCATTAATTGGTTTTCTCAATTCTAGGTTTTGCAAAGCTGTGGCAGAAAGCCTCAGAAAAGCACTGGAAGGCTGGCTTCTGCTTCAATCCATCATGAGAAGCCATCAAGAAGATGTTGCCTTTCTTGTACTGCCATTAAAAATGCAATATCTGGCTTTAAAATATACTGGTCTTTCTGCCTTTCTTTCCCAACCTGGTCTCCTCCCTGTCAGCACTCTCCTGCAATCTTTTTTTTTTTTCTCTGTCTCTCTCTCTCTCTCTCTCTCTCACACACACACACACACACACAAACTCTCACACTCACATGCTCAATTAAAATTTCTGAGGAAGGCAGAAGTGCAAGAGAAGAAGTGGCAGTGGCGTAGAAAGATGAGCTGACAGACAAACCTAGATTTAAGCTCTAACTCCGGGTGAGTTTGGCCAAGCAGCTCTCTTCTCTAGGTTCAGTGTCCATACCTGGAAAAACATGAGTGCTACTCCCTGAGCCCCTCACAGCTTTGACAATAAATAATCTTTCTCTTGTGTTGTAGACAACTAATATCATTCTTGAAATGTCTGGCTATGAGTTGTAGCCACAGATCTACCTATTAAGGTGCTCACAAAGGTCTCGCTCATAGGATTAGCGCCGAGGCATTAGGGGCATGTTCATATCAGCAGGATATTCTGATTTTTTCCAGACACGCTTGCAATGGGATGCAGCTCGATGTAGGAGAAATAACATTGCTTTTGAGTCAAACAGACTTGAGTTTGAATTTAGGATGTCACTTCCCAGCTGTGTGACTGCAGGTGAATCACTTAGCTTCTCTGATCCCTAGTTTCTTCTACAGTAACATAGGAATAATACCCGTAATGGAAGGTTGTTAGAAGAGTAAATGCAATCATATGAAGGTAGAGAGCTTGGCATGGTGCCTGGTACATGGCACGGCAGTTACTCAATACACAGTAGGGTGATTTTTTTTGCTCCTAAAAATGAATACTGGAGACATACATGCATACATGCAGAAAAGGCACATAGGACCTAGAGCAGTGAAAACAATTTAACATACTATTTGAATTGACTGTTGCTGCTCCATATGGAGAATATTCTAAGACACACACACACACACACACACACACACACAGAGTTCAGCTTCTAAAGGCAGTAGCAACCAATCCTAATTTCCTTAAGGTAATACACTTAAAATGCTGAGTAGAGATTTTGGTACATAAGTTCTCAGTAAATACTAGTTATACTCATTTTTATTTAAAATATCTTTCAATATAGTAAATTCCAGTTTATTATATACCTCTTCCCCATTCTCCTCTCTGAAGAGGCCTGGTTTTTTGCTTTTTTTTTTTTTTTTGAGACAGAGTCTCACTCTTGTCGCCCAGGCTGGAGTACAGTGGCGTGATCTCGGCTCACTGAAACCTCTGGAAGAGGCCTCTTTTTAAGAGGCAACATGGGGCACAGAAAATCTCTATAAGTAGGAGCCTCAAGCCATCAGTCTGATGCTGAGTTCTTAATCACAAAATCATAGCACTTCAGAGCTTGGCTGGTAGAGAAACTGAAACAGAAATGGTTTACGTGATTTGACCAAGGTCGTGGAGGAACCCCAGTTCTCACAGAGTTCTCCTCATGTTCTTTGCCCTCGTAAGTTCCAACTAAGTCTATGAGAATGAAAATGCTTGACAAAGTCCAGGTGCTTTCCAAATGCCAGAGGCCCCTCTCCTGCATCTGCCAGCTCCTACACCAGCCTTGGCAGAGGGCCACGGCCACTGGAGGTATTTAAGGCTGTCTGCAGCAACCGCACCACTGTCAAAGTAGAGCACTGCTGCCCAAAGCTGGCCTTGGTTTCTGTCAAGGCATGGAGCACAACACCTGGAAAGGGACTCCAGGACCCTCATGCTGAGCAGGCTGTGCCAGCATCAAGGCAGAGGGTAGCCCAGTTGGAGCTGCCCAGAGTTAAACATTAGTCTGCCAAACTCTGGCTCTGTGTGCTGGTATGTGGCCATGGGGATGCACAAAAGCTAGAAAGGCCAAAAGAAGGAAAGAAAAACATCTCTTTTTCTTTTTCTACATTTATTCATTCACTCATTGCTTAGTCATTTCCTTATTCAGTTTTTCTTTTTTACTATCACGGAGAAAGGGCATGGCTAAGATTTCATTATTTAGTAAAAGAGACACAAATAGAGATACAAATAGAGATACAAACCAATTATAATTCAATATGGCAAGTGCTCTAATAGCAAAATACTGTGGCAAAGGAGAGGGAAGCATTCAATTTTCTTGGTTTCCAAATATTAACGGAGTAGAGATTGTGTAATAATCAAGGTTTAATCAGAGAAATAAAACTAATATATGTATATTCATAAACATATACATGTATGCATGCATACATTAATGTATACATAATACACATATATACATACACATGAATGTACATACATATATACACACACGTGAATGTACATACATATATATGCACACACGTGAATGTACATACATATATACGCACATGCACATTTAGGGATTTGACCTTACATGATTGTGGAAGTTGGTTTAACAGCCTGTATATGGTTACTGTCTTTGCTCAGATCTGGCAAACCTTTTCTTTAAAGGAGCAGACAATACATATTTTAGGTTTTGGGAGACATACAATCTCTGAAGCACAGAAGCAGCCTCAAGCAATTAATAAACACATGGATCTGGCTATGTGCCAACAAAATTTCATTTACAAAAACAGGCAGTGGTTTGGATTTGCTCTGCGGGTCATAGTTTGCAGACTACTGACCATCTTTGCCACTACTGGTTCTGGAGCCTGAAGTTAGTAGGGCAGAGAGTTGGGCAAGGAAGTTGATATGAAGCGTGAGAGAGCAAGGATGAACTGGAGCCTGCAAAGATGGAGAACAGCCTAGAATCTGCCTCAGTTTCTCATTGTCTTCCAGCCTCCAACTTTAGTAATGTTTGAGTCCTGAAGAGGTGGTGTCTCTTCATGCACTAAATTCACATGCAAGCCAGGAGTTAAAAAAAACTGAAGAAGGATCCAGTGGGAGGTGGAATTGCTGCTAGTCTGGCTGTTGGCCCAGACCAACAAGGTTTGCAAGCAGATAAGTAGCAATGGACATGGTTTGCAATAGCACCTGGTGTTCCTGCATTGACCCTTTGAATGTTAACTAACTACGGCTTCTGCTTTAATTCATCCTTCCAAAACTCATGCAAAATGTCTCCTATGACCCATGCTAACTTGAAACAATGTAAGAAAGGAAATTCTAGGAGGCATAAGTCTACTTGAACTAAGTTGACCCAGTAAAGTCCATACAGATGAGGAAGGTTTCAGACAGGAGCTTACATTGGAACTGGACCTCAAGTATGAATGAGCATTTTTACCAACTGAAAGACACCCCTAGAATCCTCAGAAAGCATTCTTTATGGGTGATCTGTTGTCACATGACTCTAACACAGAGTTTATAAGGAGAAACAACCTGTTCTTTTGCTTGCCAAGCATTTGAATAATTTATGTCCCTTTTTTTTTTTTTCACTAATTGACTACTTCCATTAAAATCCAGATGTGAGCAGGATGGTGACTTCTGTGACCATCTTGGCTCAAATTTTTCCATGAAAGTCCAGCCAGTTTGTTTGTCCATACCCGGCAGGAAAACCTACCTCTGGGAAAAAGAGGCTGCTCTGTCTAGGCAAATCATTCAATGCTCAAGCATATTCACATTTAACAATGTTTTAGCAGATAATTCCCATAAAAATTTTTTATTCTGTGTCACAGAACTGACTTCTTTCCCCCATTTTTAGCGACCTGTTCTTTCTTGTGTTTTTCTTTATTAACGTCAGATTTTACTAGATGTTCCAGCACCAGATGTTATATTTAATTCCTCCTTCTTCCAGTTCTTTCATGTTTTGAGCTTACCTCCACACCTCTTGCAATCATCCACTCATTCATTGACTTTCTATATATCCATCTTGTTATCCATCTTTGTGTTTATTTATTCGCTCATCTATCCATCTATCTCTCCATTCATTTGTCCATCCATCCACTTATCCCTGCATCTCCTTTTTTTTTTTCCCCTTTGGCTACTACCCTGAAATAGGGTAGATAGAAGACTGAAATAGTCTTCTATCATCTCATTCTTAAATGATTACAAGGCCCAATAAACTGGTTTTCCTGAGAGGCTTAGTGAATGCATAGGATGTGGAGTAACATGGGCTTACATTTGAATTCTGTCTCTGTCCTTTACTAACTCTATGATCTTAAGCACATAATTGAAACTCTCTGGGTCCATTGAGGAACTAATAATATCCACATCTCAGGATTGTTGTAGGCGTTTATTGAAAAAAGGTTTATAAGGCAAGTAGTACAGTGCTTGGAACATGCAAGACACTCAATAAATGCTAATTCATTCCCTCCTCTCTATTTCTTATATCCTAACTACTTTATAATGTTTTTTTCATACATCTTCACAAACCCTTGAAATTGTCACCTAACTCTTGGGCTTTTGCTGAAACCATCCTTCTTCCAACAACTGTGTCCACCCCAATTCCTAACTTCCTATTGAGACACATCACTATTTCTAACTTCAGGTCTTCAATCATGTAAACTTTTCTTCTTGAATTATCTGTCTTCCTATTTCTTTTTGTAGAAAATGGATCTGATTTCTTGGACTCTATCCTTCCCCCATGAAAATGCTACCTCTTTCTATAACCTTCTTGAATCCCCCAATTTAAACCTTTACCCCCACTGTATTACTGTAAGACTTTATTTGCAGGTATGAGAAAAGGGATCTTCATTTCTGAGCATACATTGTTGAGTGTGGATATACTTGTTATGTGCTTTTCACAGCAATTTCATGAAGCAATTAGTATCTTTATTCTTTTTTAGTAGAAGAACTTTCCCAAGGTCACTCAGTTAATAAAGACCATAGCAAAAATATGAACCCAGGTCCAAATATCTTAATTCAAAATATCTTCCATTTCATACTACCTTGCCTTCCATCCTCTATCATATATAGTAATAATTCTGTAAAAATGTTAAAAAACATAATTCTGACATTTATCAAAGATTATGAAAAATGAAAAGCTATGATTGACCCCATAAATAAATGATATTAAAGGATAGGGATAGTGTTTTATTTATTCCTGTATCACCTTCACTGTCCTGGTGTAAAAAACCTACCAATAGGCATATGGTAAACGTCCAACTGAAAGACATCAAAAGCATAAATAGGACCTTTCACCAGAGTCGTATTCTTGAGATTCTGCCTCAATTTCAAATGTTACAAGTGATCATAAATCCTTCAGCCATCATATTGTCAGGGTAAGGTCAATTTTGGTGTTCTTTCTTTTTTGTAAGAATGTCTGCAACAAAAATGGAATTATTATTGTTCAATTCTTATCATAATAAGACTCTTCATAAATTAGAGTCCTTGGCTATTTTGTGAAAATCCTTGGCCTGATTCCTGCAGCCAGAAGGCAGCAAGCTTCTTTATTTGTCTCTCCATAGCATTAGTAACTCTGTACAAGTTAAATTTGTTTTATTTATAGGTTGGACGAGCTTTCACCCATAAGGAGTGCCGAATAAATAGACTTTTTCTATCATTCTCCAAAGAGGTTGGAAAGGAACTACTCAGGAGGAAAGCCTGGAGGGTACAAATTGTCAGAATGAAGTATAGTCTTTTGTTCAGAATCAGAAGAGTTAACCACTCAAATCATAAAATACCAGATGAAGCTCACTTCACCCAATAGGAGTGAGCAAAGTGAGAAGAAGGAAGACATGGTGACACAGAAAACCTCCAAGGAGTAATCTCTCCAGTTTGAGTCAAGACAAGTTCACTTGGGATCCTCAAGGTTATATTTTTGCCTAAAAGGCCAAGGAAGTATGCTTTCTGATAGCACAAAAAAGAGTTATAGTTTAAAAAAACAGAGATTGAGAGGGCAATGCAGAATAATCTGTTGATCTGTGGAGTGTCTATGTCTAGTTATTTTTACTGGAGTGTGAGAAGAGCAACTCAAAGTTATTGAATTGAAGGAGTTCAAAGATCAATGCAACATGATTCAATAATCACATTGTGAATTAAATAAACATAAATAATCATATTAGACCTTAAATCTGCTATCTCTTTGGAGAGAAATGAGATGGTTATCATCTTTGATAAACCCCCAAATTCTCTGTTGTCCTCATGAAAGGAACATGCTGCTGTTTCACTGTGAGCTTTGAGAACCTTTCGAAGAGAAAGAATGGGTTTTTGTTGCTCAGTACATACAAACTTGCCTGGTGCCCCTTCTAATTAATGGCATTTATTTCCCCCAGAGAGTTGCCTAAGGCTGAAGGCAGGGATGTGGCATTGAGACAGAACTAACCTAACTGGCTCTCATGGGGATTGATCACATGCATTGACCTTCCACTACAGTGTTCTAAGCATTTGAGTTAACTGAATGTGCCTTCCCTACAAATAAGTCTCAGTCACTCCATAGAAAAGAAGATGGGATTGTCAGGTATCAGGTATAAAACACTGTATCTTTAAGACAGTGTGAAGTTTACTTTCAAAGCAGGGTGTGGAACTTTCTAAAGAGAAGCCCTGCACAGTCATAAACTATTCATGAAAGTTCTCATGTTTCTAGAACTACCTACTTTCTAGTTCCCTTAACTGGTCTTATTACTACCTGACTCATCTTGCTGACAACTCTGACCTCAGATCTACCTTTAATTTATTTTAATACATTCCCTTTTTTATCCTGGACATACGTGTATAAATTGTTGATATCTTGTCCATTTGATACCTGACCTTGACCTTCCTTGACACCACTGTCCTTACTTTTGCTAGAGATGTCAGTGTCAGACACATTTCTCACTGCCTGCTCTTGATATCCCATTCCTACCCCCATTTTTGGCTTTGCTTTCCCTGTGAAAACTTTACAACTGAAAGAGGTTCCACTCCATGACACAAAGCCAAAGGCAGGACAAGGGACTGCAAAGGCTCCCACAGCAAAGTCTTCAGTGTCATAGGCCAGAGGGAATGAGCTCCATCACCCTTAGCACGTAAGCAACAAGAGGCCTGGCCTAGTTTCATACACCCCAGAGAACCCTTAGCTAAGCAGGTGGTCACACCAACTTGAGACTGTGCTTCAACTGTATCCATGTCCTGGGAAAAGCCAACCACGTCATTTTGCATCAGCCAATGCAGTGCAATAGAATAGTACATGCTTTGGAGCCAGGGCTACTTGGGTTGGAATCCTGGTTCTACTCCTTGCTAACTGTGTTACTTCAATCAAGTTTCTTACCTTTTCTAAGCCTCAGTTTCCTTACCTATAAAATGGGGGTAACTGTACTTGCCTTTCACTGTCATTGTGAGAATTTAGAGATAATAATTATAAAATATAGGACATTGCATATAACATACGATAAATAGAGTTTATTATTATTTATCTTTCCTTGCTATTTTTGTCATTATTATTATTGTTATGACAGGGCTTTAATGTCTAGATTCTGGCAAGAATAGCAAACATTTCAAATATCCAGGCAGCTCATTTCTTGAGAGATGGACCACAGGTTTCCTCACAAACTAGGCTGGTTGCTCAGTGTTGTAAATCACCACTTGGCTTCCTGCCTGAACTTTTAATCTTGTCCCCATCTCAATTTAAAGAGGGTGAGAAAGCAGAGACATCAATCGTTTCCTTGTCAAGGACAACAGCCCCTTCCTTCTTCCTTGGATCTCTCCTGGGGACCCATCTGCCTGGTGCCAAGGGAGGGGGCTGCTGCTGAATACAAATCACCATGTGGTGGGGGAGGCTTGTGCTTCTATATCAGCCAAGAGCCATTTCGCCATCTCTGTGTGAGACTCCAATGAGCCCAACCCAGTCCTCCCACTGCTCCTGGGGTTAAGCGCCCCACTGCTTCACAGTCACCCTGGATAGTGATGTAACCATGAAGATGGCAGTTACCCAAGGTACTGGGACACAGACTTTATTGATTTGTTCTTCTAATGCATTAGGAGGAAACAGGAAACCTCAGGAAGGTCATAAGCGACAATTGTGCATTGACTGGCACAGACATTGACTTCATTCAGAAAGGCACGACTCAAGAGGCCTTGCTTTCAGAGAGGAGGGGGGCCATAGAGGCACGACTCAGAAAATAAAGACAATAAGCACGGGCTGGATCACAGGGAATCAGAAGGAACTGAAGAACCTAACGCTCAAGCTCACACTTGAGGGAAAGTCTTTGTTCAGTTCCTGGTAGAGCCAGATGTTCAATCAATGTTACTAAACAATTGGATGAAGGCATAAACCAGCAAGGGTGAGCCCCTTAGAACTTCCTCTATCGATTTTCTGGGCACCTCTGTACCATTTTCCCATTTGATTCTGTGGTTACATGCCCTTCTTTCCATCTCTTTTTCATGATCTTTAAAGCTGAGCACGTCAGAGAACTTTTAATGGACTCCCGCTGTTTCCTTCAGCTTTCAACCTCTTGCGATGCGCCCTGTAATCACTGACCACTGCAAAAATCAGAATGACACGTTTGAAGATCTCCTGGCCCTCCTGTACCCTCTTTTCTTCTAGGTCTGTGTTCTGGATATTTGGGGTCTGCCTCTCAAAAGTTTTGCCTTCTCTGATGATTATATTAACGAGAAGTGCCATCTTTCTTCAAGGGTTCTGGTTATTTCAACTTTATCATCCAATTCTCACTTTCTTGTGAGCAATGATTCCAGATGAGCATTTGAGTTAACTGAGTGTGCCTCCTCTACAGATAAGTCTCAGCCACTTCATAAAAGGGAAGTTGGGATTCTCAGGTATCAGGTTTAAAACACTGAATCTTTAAGACAAGATGAGTTTACTTTCAAAGCATGGTGTGGGACCTCGTAAAGAAAACTGTCTGTGAAGCCACATCTTTCCAAATGTTTGGCTTTAATCAATTCAGCGGACTTTTGGATAGGATCCTAAGGTCTCTTCTAACCCCATAACTACAGTCAAATCATTAATCCAGAACTCAGTGGAACATTGCAGTTTTTGTAGAAACGGTTCTCTACTGATTGTTAATACCGAGAAACTATAGACCGCCAAGCAGAGATGGAACTTCAAACCATTCTTTTGTTTAGGCTTTTGTGGGCTCTGTACAGGCATCAGCTCTCTAGTCCTGGTTTTAGTATCCATGTAAAACATCATCTTGGCAGAAGGAGACGCAACAGAAAAGTGATATCTCCAATGAAAGACGTAATGCAGGGGTTTACTCATAAGCAGCGTGGAGATTAAGGACAAAGACTTCTGTAGAGCTCAGATTCTAACACAAGGAGGTGATTAGTCCCAGCTCTGCAAGTTACTCTCTCTGTAATTTAGGCACATGACTTAAACTTTGTAGCCTCATGTTACATTTTTACTAATAAACTAATAGTAGCCTCAAGCTTAAAAGGGATTACTAATAAACTGATTTGGGGGTGCTATGAAGATAAGTAGACCATGAATTTTCAATAGCCAAGCACATAGTAACTGCTCAATAAACAATTGTAGGTTTTTTCCCTCGTCACCCAAGATTCCAGTGAGTTCTGGACTAATAATTTGGCTTCAATTATAGACCCACGGGTTTAGAAGGAACCTTAATATCATATCTTAGGGTAAAACATCTATATTTATTAACCACTAACTGTGTGCCAGGCAATGTGGTAAGCAACTTGAAAATAATATTTTATTTATTGAGATAACAGATATTATACTCATATTTCAGATGAGAAAAGTGGGGCTCCCATGTATTAAATAGTGTTCCTTAGGTCATGCACCTCATCATTGATAAAGCAGAGGTGCACATCTTGGACTTTCTCACTCAAGAGCCCATTCTCTTAACCACACTGTTGTAAGAACATTTTAGAATGAGAAAGCAGTGGTATGACTTTAATAAGCTAAAAAATCAGTGAACTGTAGAGTCCTTAGGGAAATAGGGTTTGGAGAGTGGAGGTGGAAATGCACTAAAATAATAGATTCCAGTATCGATCTAGTGAGCGGAGCTGAGGAGACAGAGATTAGTAGGATTTGTAAAGTTGTTATTAGTATTTGCCAAAGATGTTTGCCATTGCCCATGTTCTTCTTGGGAATGTTGCCTTTTGAATATTACTCTGGAAAACAGGATCACATAAAAATCCTTTCTTTCCTGTGTCCCAACATGCTTATTAAGTTTTCTCAGTACTGGGTACCATGATAGGCAGGGAGAGAACAGAGATATCAAACACAGGGCAAGTTTTGCATTTGATGTGTTTCAATTACAGATATAAGAAGCTATATCTGGAAAAAAATGTGGGGCAGCATTTGGATGAGCTTTGAGTCTACACTGAGGAGTCTTGACTTCAGCAACAACCTGACATATGGAGTTATTT